AGTTTGATTCTCACCGAGGTTGCTGTGCGAGGCAGGAGAAGTTTGATAACTCCTCACACAACGCTGGCAAACTTTTTTTTTGTTGCAGATCCATCTGTTTAGAATGCTGGAGAATCTTTTTTTCCCCTTTAAAGATTTATATTGCTTGCACACTGCCGAAAGAAAAAAAAATCTGGATGTTAAATAAATGCATGAATGTGGGAAAGATTCTTCAAGTTTGTAACCCACTTAATATTTAATAAATGTAATAGATCATTTTTATAAATATGTATAGCTTAGATATAAATAAATTTAGAATACATAAGGGATTACAATAGGACACACATTCATCTCTGTTGGCACAGAACAGACCAGGAATGTTTTATGAACATATTAATCCTCATTGGTGAAAATAAATGCCCTCCTCTCCTGCAGCCCAGTGACAGAGTGGTTGGTGGCAAGTTCCTGTTCTGAATTCCATGGAGCTGGAAGTGCAGCCCTGCAAGGAGCTGCAGAGGTGCTTTTGCTGCTGACAAAGAGGAATTAAGGCTGGAATTTGTGGATGAGGGTGTGAGGCTTTTAAACTCCATCCCATTTTACGGGAATGAAGGTGTCAGTGAGTGGTGCTGCCCTGGGAGCAGGGGCTGAAGGAGGGCTGGGAGCTGCAGGGAAGGTGTGCAGGAGGGAAGGCGGAATAAATGAGGGCTGAGAGAATGGCCTTGCTCATACTGGAATAAAAATCCTTCCTGGGGAGGTCCTGCCCACGGGAGGAGAGTTCTGGGGTCCGGAACAACAGGCACAGCCACACCTTGGTGGTGTCCCGGGGTCCTTGCCTGGGGGATTTTGTGAGAGGAGGCATTTGGATGATGATGTTGATGCTGCTCTTTGGTGAAAGGCTGGGGGGAAAAAGGGTTTGTGTAGGAAAAGCCTCAAGAAATCAGAATGTTTTGGGGACAAAAAGCTTTTCTGCTCAGGGAGGGCTGAGGGACCCTCCCTGTGTGTGCTCTGTGGCACTGAGGGACTGTCACCCTCCTGCTCCCCAGATTTGGGGTCAGACTTCCCTGATCATGCAAAAAAAACCCACAAAAGGGTGATCAAAGCAGCCCCAGTGCATTCCAGAGCAAAGCCAGATGGGAAAAGCCCAGGTGCAGAACCAGGAGTCTCAAGTGGCAGCACCCAGCTCCACATCTCGGCCCCTGCACACAGGAGGAGGAGTGAGAGGCTTTAAAATTCAGATAAGGAGGGTGAGTTTGCAGCTGAAGATTCTGAGCACACTGCTTTCCTGTGATAATATCCCAGATTTGCTTCCACAACTTACTGCACATTCTTTTTTTTTTTTTTTTTTTTGGAGTTTTCATTGCAGAAAATTGCCAGGAGGGATGGATTTTGTCTTCCTCAGCTGGCAGAACAATTTTCCACCTGTCGCCCAAATATTTGATGAGAAGGATTATGGTGCAGCTGCTGGAAGTTTATCCTTCATATCCATGGGAAGCAAGAGGGGCTGGTGAAGCAGAGCCACTGATATCAGAGGTTGGCTTGCTGAGATGGATCTGCAGCACTTGTGCTGCAAATTCAGGAGGTCTGACAAAGATGTGAAATGCAGAGAGGAGCACGTTGGGTGCTGCAGTTTTACCCAATCCCTCATTTCCCTCCAGTGCTCCCTTTTCTTCCTTTCCTGCCCTCGTAAGTGCTGGGTTTGCTGAGGCTGGGGTGGCTTCCTGTGCCCAGCCAGGGCAGCAGGAGGGCTTGGGAGGGTCCATCTCTCCTCAGCATCCCCAGAGGCACCGCCCTGGGAAAGGGCACTTCTGGCAGGAGGAGCTGGAAACACAAGTGGATTTAACAGCAGGAGAAGTGGTTCCTCCTTGGAGGGTACATGTGGATATCCAGGAAAAGAATGCACTGTATTATTGGGTGGCAAAGGCATTTAAAATGCATTAATGACAGCAGAGTTCTGCTGCAGGGACTCCCCAGCCCCTGCCCCTGTGCTGGCAGCCTGTGCTGAATTCCATGGCCCCCTGGGCTCTGGCAAATCCCTGAACCAGAGGGAAGAACAAAGGCACTGAAGGATTTCACGTGGGCAACAAAATGTGGTATTTCCACCAGTATCTGAGCGACTCCCAAAAAACCCCCCCTGCCTGTGGGACAGGGGCGTCTCACTGAGCAAATGTTGCTTTTCTGGCTGAATAAAAGACTTGGGTTTCGTTGTGGAAACCATCCCATGCAGGAGGAAATGCTGGGTTCTGCAGTATGGGGTTTTTTTTTTTTCCATTCTCACTTCCCTGCAAAGCTGAGCACGCGTGCAGAAGGCATTTGGCATTGTTTAGTTGTGGTTCAGCGGGAATCAGGAACGTCAGATCCATGGAAAGGGAAGAATGTGAGGGTCTGGAATGCTGGTCATCTCCAGGGGGTTTTCAGCTCACAAATGGGCCTGTCCAAAGGAGGGGTTGGGATGTTTCCACCTGGGAGAAGTCTTTGCCCAGTATTATTGTTATATTTATTACAAGTTAGGTGGTTTGTTCGGGACACTTCTGACTTTTTTTTTTTTTTTAATATGGAAAGAATAATGCTACTTATTTATTTTAAGTAATTGCTAACTTGGAAGAAAAAAAGTTCAGAACTCAGTTCTTCATTGTTTTAAAATGTCACTTTAACATTTAAATTATACCCTAATCAGTTGTGAAATACTGACTCATCCCTGTCTGCTGCTGTCCACATTTTCTAATGTGGTCTGACAGCAGCAGGTGATTTATTTCATAGAAGAATTTTATGTTTGTTCTCAACTTTTTCCCCCCCTCCCTTTCTTTTTTGTTTCTGTGATTGCCATAAAAAGATTTAAAGCCCCTCCTGGCCCCGTGTGCGGAGCATAAAGCACAAAGCACTTCCTGAAAGGTAATTTTCCAGCAATGAAAACCACAAGAATTGTGTTTCAGGGTCTGCTCTTCTGTCATTCCCTGCTGCACCCAAACAGCCCTTTTTCTGTAGCTCTGAAGGGCCTGAATGCTGAAAACTGGGGGCTGGACATGAAAAACCCTCAGAGATGGGCAGTCAGAGCCCTTGGAAAGTTCCAGGTGCTTTCAGGTTGGGGTATGAGAAAGCTGATGCACAAAAGGAAGAGGCATTAAGTTAAAATTCCATGTATTAAGTGCACTTTGGGAGAGGCTTTGCTTTGCTCAGCAGCTACCTGGGAGGAAATGTTATTTATCTGGGAATGTGCATTTATGGAACATCAGTAATAGCCTCATAATTACATGTTTTAGGACTTGACCCTGGAGCAAAATGTAGTAATATCTGTCTGTTTGTTGGGCAGAGAGAGTCATTTCTCCCTCTGTGTGCTGGGATCTGCATCAGTTTGGTTTTCAAGGGCACTTAATGGAGCTCCATTTAAGTGAGAAGATGCACCTTGACTGACCTCGGGATGGGAAAGGTTTTCCTTGGGAAGGAGCCACTTCCCCAGCCCAGCCCAACCCAGTAACAGGCAGATCATTAACTCCAGGAGGAGATTTGTGCCCTGAATTTCGGTGGGGCTGGGATTTCTTCCTGTGTGTCTTGCCCTAAATAGCAAATTCAGTGGAATGGCGCGGGGTCACCCAGAGTTCTCCAGCTGAATGGTCCTGCTGGAATTGTCTGCAGCTCTCCCTGCTCACCAGTGAGCTGCTGCCTCGTGAAGCACTCGCAGCGTTGATGGCAGTGTGGGATTTCCAAGCCTCTCCAAACCCTCAGAATGACAGTTTTCTGTTATTTCCTCCAAAGCACAGATTTAATAAAGCCTGCAGGGACACGGCATCGCTGCAGATTGACAAGATGGAAATTGGCATAAATGTTCGGTGGTAAAACACTGAAACTCGTGCTAATGTTTTCTGAAGTAACACTGAGAAGGGGGTTTGAGAGTCGTTGTGCTTTCCCAGCACAGCCTCAGAGTGTTTGCACACCCAGCAGTGCTGGGGGACAGGGGCCCGGCTTTAATGGAAACAAAGACAAAGGATGTTCTCATTATTCTGCCATCTGCTAGACCTGGGGAGGTTTTTAGACTCACTTCATAACTTCCCTCTCATCTGACTTAATTTCCTTGGTTGGGTTCAGTCACATCCCTGGCGCCCTCAGCTCTTCCCTGCTCTGATCCTGGGTTCCTTCATCTCCTCTCTCATCCTTTGGCTGGATGTGTTCAGTGCTTTCCAACCTTCCATCACAAATCAATCCCTTCTGACTTATTTTTTTTTTTGCTGTTCTCTGAATTTTCTCAAAAAAAAGAATGACAAACTACCGAGATAAATTCCAGCCCTGCTGAAAATCAGTGGGAATTTCCCAGGTTTGACCCGATGAGAAGTTCTAGTGAAGGAAAAGCCTGGATTCCAGGGCTCCTGGAATTCAGAAGGTGAGGCTCAGAACACTCACTATCTTGCAGTTTCTGGCCCTACAAAAACCACTTTTCCCCTTTGATATCCCCTTTAGGGGCTGCAGGCAGTGGGAGCAGAGTAAAACCCCCTTGAGAATCTCCTCTGGGAGAGTGTGAACCAGCAGCTTGGTTGTCCCAGTGCTGCAGGGAGCTCTTCATGTCTGTGGTTAACACTGATCCCTGTTAAACCTGCAGCAGCTGGCAAAAGGAAATTAAATTCAGTGGCAGGAAGGGAGATTTGGGAGTTCAGGCACCGGGCTGTCACTCCAGGGAGGGAGGTTTAGTGTCTCCTTCTTCCACAGACACTTTCTGGGGGACCCTGGGTGAGTCATTTAATCTTTCTCTGCCTCAGTTCTCCGTCTGTAAAACTGTTCACTGCGGTGCTGCAGTTTCTGACGACTCTGATGCTTCTTTTCTGTCCCTTTTCCTGACAGTTCTCACACTTAAATTATTTGACTCTGCTTGTCTGTCCTCGCAAAGCACAACCCGACAGCTGCCGGCTCCTCTTTAAATCAGTTTTAAACAAAACCCCGAAGTGGTGTTTCATCAGAGAAACGGCACAAAGGGTGAAAAACGTGAAAAAAAAGTGAAAAACACCCCGTGAAAACCATCTCTGTTTCCCTTTCCTCCCCTTGCAGGCAATGAGAACAGCGAGGCCCTCCCGGAGTCCATCCCCTCCGCCCCCGGGACGCTCCCGCACTTCATGGAGGAGCCCGACGACTCCTACATCATCAAGAGCAACCCCATCGTGCTGCGCTGCAAGGCCAAGCCAGCCATGCAGATCTTCTTCAAGTGCAACGGGGAGTGGGTCCACCAGAACGAGCACGTGTCCGAGGAGAGCCTGGACGAGGCCACCGGTGAGGGCGGGGACAGGTCGGATCCCGGGAAAAGGTTCTTATCCCGGAGGGTGGTTGGGCACTGCCCAGGCTCCCCAGGGCAGTGGGCACAGCCCTAAGGCTGCCAGAGCTCCAGGAGGGGTTGGATGCTCCTCTGAGACTCGTGGGGATGGGCCTGTGGGGAAAAAAATCCCTTTTTCAAATTTAGAAGGGCGGCACAAACTCGGGGAACAAAGAAACGAGGAAGAATTTCTCTTGCTCCTTCCTCATCAAATTTCCAGGGAAAAAGACCCTTTGGGTTTGAACCTTACACATTTCATAGCTTCACAAAATCCCACCCTTTTCCAGATAAGTTTAATATATTCATTTTTGCCTGAAAAGGTTTCTTTTCTCTGAAGATGGGCGTCCCCTGCCAAAGGTGAGGGACCTTCCTTTGTTCTTAGCCCAGAGAGAGAAAAGAACCCCTGTGTACAAAATGGCCCCAAAAGAGTTTAATTTTTAGGAACTTTTGTTTTTGCCTTATCTGGCCAAAAAAGACCCTGATACTCCAGTCCAGTTTTTGGAACTTGGACATCTTACACAGCCTATATAAAAAACCCCGTATTTTTATTTCTCACAGAAGTGCTCTGAGTGCAAGTGTGTGTGGAGGAGAAGGGAGAGGGCTGGAAACGATCATCAGGTTTGATCAGGTCCCATCACTCCCCTCGACCTTTTCTCATTTAGCAGCATCTTGATAAGTATTGCAAACCAATTTAATGCCTGTGACTTCACAATTCTGTTTTGTTATTGCTTTTCTCCTCTTCTGAAATTCCAGGATTGCTAGGCAACTCCAGGCCTTGGAATAGCAGAGTGTGTGTGTGTGTGTGTGTAACATCTTCTCTGGCAATACAAGAAATTCCTTTTTTTAGAGGCAAAAACGCCACTTAAAAAGAAGATGCATCTCCTAAAGTGGTGTTTGGCATTCCTTCTAAGTGACATACTCTGAAGAAATTTCATACTGAAGGTTTTTGTAAATGCTAATCTGGAAGAATTTTAATTTTTACCGTTACCTTTTCGGAAATAACTTAATAGGCATAACCTTTACTTCTGCAGGCACTGCTGAATCAATAGAGGAGAAATCTCGTCCCTGAAAGCTTTCCTTCCATATGGCTGATGAAAATGTGTCTTGTGAATGCTGCAATTATGTTTTCTAAGCCTTGGATTAATAACAGAATGAAACAAGATAAAGTAACACTGAGGGGTTTTTTTTAGATGATGCCAGAAATGTTGAGGTTTGAGCCGTGGGGGCACAGGCTGAGCAAAGGGGGGCTGGGGTGCAGGACCACGGAATGGGTTGGGTTGGAAGGACCTTAAAGCCCATCTCGTTCCCAGCCCTGCAGGGACACCTTCCACGAGACCACAGGAGTGGTGCAGGTTTGGGTTCAGCCCAGGGATGGAGGGTTGGTCTCTCAAAACAAGTGTGGTGCAGACAGGGCAGGGTCTGAGAGTTCCCAAAACTGCCCGAACGGTCCTTGGGACACAGAAATGGGGGTAAAGGCAAGGTGCAGTGCAGTGCTGAGGGACAGACATGGCTCTTCTCTCACCGTGGTGGATCTGTGGCCGTGAATTATTTTGGAGCTCAGCCCTCAGTGAACAGCAGACTCCTGGGCTTTTTGGAATGAATGTGTGTCCTGGCAGTGCTCTCCTTTCTGGAGTCGAATCTGGGGCATAAACATGTCTGTTCCCAGGCACACACAGTGTTCTGTGTGCTGTGTGAGCTCCATCTGGAAAAACTGCACTGGGACTGGGGCCAAAACCGGTGCTTTTGGTTGCAGGGGGGTTCTGGTCCCTCGCTGAGGGGAGGCTGCACTGCAGCAAAAGGATCTGTCCCTCCCCACCCTTCCACTGTTTGTGTGGGACTCAGATTCTGAGGGGAGGTGTAGAAGTGGTGAAAAATAGCAACAAGAAACCCAAACAAGGGGAAATTCAGCGCTGAGTGAGAGAAATGTGTCTTGGCATCTCTGTAAACTCCTGCCAGGAGCTGCTGGCAGTGGGACCTGCAGGCACCGTGTCCTGCTGGATGTCCCCGAGCTCTGCACAGGGGCCAGGGGGGGACACACGATGGGGAGGGGTTTGTTTGTCGTCCTGATGAACAGAACCCAGTTTTCCGTGGTTTTGTTTTTATGGGAGGGGAAATTAAACACCTCAGGGTAGCACAGGAGTCCCTGGGAACCTGAAATGGAGGAACAGCAGGAGAGGAAGGGATTTTGTAGTTCTGGGCTGTGCCTTGTGCTGCCTGCCTGGGAATGTCCTGGGAATGTCTGGAAGGGTTTGCTCTGGGTGGCTCTGTTGTGGATTTGCTGCTCTGTGTCTGCCTCCCCTGTTCATTCCCTGAACGTGGCAGAGCAGGGACTTTGCTGTCTCTCTTCTCTGGCTCATCAAGTGAGAGCTTGAGCTTGGAGATGCTGCCGTGATAAAAGAATAATAATTACAGTTTGATTCATTTCCTCCTGCTTTCTTTTCCCTGCCTGAGCACTGCCCATGCACTCCAGAATGCCTTTGCAAACCCTCCAGTTCTGGTTTCACCAGAGCATCAGCCCTGCCTGGAGTAACTCGAGTTTCCTTGTCTGATAACTAAAAGGATTACAGCAATAACTGCTGTCAGTGTTTTCCTCATTTAAACAAATAAAGCTGACAAATGCTGAAGTTCTCTGCAGCTCTGTTGTGTTTAGTACATGGAGAGCAATTATTCATCTGCTGCCAGCATTAGTCTATCTGCAGCTAAACCATCCAGCAGAGCAGAAAGCTCATTAGCATATCAGTGCCACAGCCATAATTTCATATTCTGTACGGCTGTACTGTAAAACAAAAGATGATGGTTATAATTTGCACAATAATTTAAAGGGTTGGACTTGCAGTGCTTATTAGAGTTATTCAAGTCACAGGTAAAAATGTTGCTCTTGTTTATGATGTGCCTGGTTTTATTTGCATGGATTTTTCATTCGCTGTCATTTCCCAGGAACAATTTTTCTGGTGTTTCTCAAGATGCAGGAGGGGAGGTGAATGTGTTTGCTGGTGAAATACAGGGATGAAAAATGAAGAATATTCCTCTCCTCCCAATAGGTTTGCTTTCTGTAGTTGTTTCTAAAACAAATGAAAATAGCTCTGCTTTCTCCATAAACAAAACATAACTTTCCCCAAAGACTCGATGTTCTCCAGAGGCCCCGTCCAGCCCCAACAATTCTGAGATTCTGCTGTTTTGGATGCATTTATTTTGTCTATGGGTAACCTGGGAGACCTTCAAAAAGACCTGAAATCCTACCTGGCCCATTCTCAAAACGCTGATCCACCAGCTCCCCAAAGTCATGTGCTGTTTGTTTGCCACATTAAACGTGGGCTGATTTATAGACTAATTAAACACCATGTCAGTGAGAGGAAGAGCTGGGCAGGAGAATATTCTGCCTTAATAAATCCAGGGCTGTAAATGCCTGAATTCACTGACGCCTGCCCAGAAATGTGCAGTGCCCACGAGCCAGGAAATGGCTTCTGCTTCTCGAAAATTCATCGTCAGGGGGTGATGACTTTTTTGGGTTGGTGTCAGCAGTTCTGTCACTGTCAGCCTGGATGCACCAGGAACCTGCTCTCAGACCTTTGTTTGCTGCTTCCCCAAATGCCCAGAGGGGCTCAGGGGTGGAGGGCTCAGAGCCCCCAGGGTCCCAGGGGGGTCAGCAGGGCTGCAGTTCATCCCCAGGAAGATGCTCCTGAGAGGTCCTGCTGGGAACCAGCTGATGGTGGGGTGGGAGGATGGCTGGAGATGTTTGGGTCCAGCAGGAGGCTGAGCTGTGTTTGCCACGGGCTCATTAAGGTTGGAAAAGAGCTGTGAGATCGTTTGCAGGCAGCACAGACACCCAGGCTGCAGGGACAGAGGGGCACGGAGCTCTGGAGTGCTGGGTGAGTGATTCCTGGTGGGGCCAGGCCAGCCTGGAAAGGTCACTTTGTCAAGGACTTCATCCCTTCTCACCCTTGTTGAAGCCTTTGAGCAGATGGGGTGTGACCTGGTTGGACAGGTGGATTTGGGGGGCTCTGGAGCTGCACAGCTCTGACTGAGATCGCTCAGGGGCTGCACGTGGCTTGATTTGCCAGAGCTGGGGAGCAAGAGGTGCCATGGATGTCATCCATGGGTGTCTCTCCGTGTCCCACAGCCCGGGGGGGTGCTGGGATGCCAAACTCCAGCCAGTGAAGACCTGCTGGGTGGGTCACCAGCACTCAGGTGCTCTCCGAGGGAACTCACCGTGGCTCATCTAACCCTAAACCTTTCCAGATCACTCCAAAATGCTCTGATCCTGGGATTTATCCCTGGCAGGGCAGCTGGGCTGGGGAAATGGGGCATCCTCGTGGCAGTGGCAGCAGGGAGGGGTCTCTGGCAGAGCTGCCCCTTCCGAGGGCCGGGTTTGTTTCCCGAGGGTTTGTTGTCAGAAAACCACGGGAGTGTTTGTGAGCAGCTCTGTTAAAAACAGCACCGACAGGGGGAAAACGAAACGTAAATAAAAACAACCGGGAAACCTCCGTTTGTTTGTTTATCAGAGAGGGAATAAATATTTGAGTGACTAAAGTGATTTTTGAGACAGCTGGGGCAGCTGTCACAGGTTTGTCAGTGTCTTTGGGTGTTGGTGTGGAGCCAAACAGGCTAAATGAAGAGAAGTAAAAATCCCCTTTGCCTGTTGCCGGAAAAGTGGCAAATACTTTGTATTTTTGTATGTGTTGAGTGGTATTTAAGCTTGTCTGACCATCCCTGCCCCTTTCTGGAGCACCCCCAGTGCTTTTTGCCATCTCTGCTGTTTGCCAGAGGAGCACACTGACTTCCCAGTGCCTTTGAGGAGTGAATGCCCAGCTGTTAATGATGCCTGAGATTAAGTGGAAGCCAATTTTTATGGAGTTCAGGCTTAGAATTCTTGCTGCTTTATAAACTTCACAGGCATGAAATACTTTAGGATCGAGTTTTCTTTCATTTCCAGTGAAGGGGAAATAAGTGTCTTGGGACTGCACAGGAGGAGAAAGAAGGAAGTACAAGGCATAAATGTTTTCTATTTTCATTTAATGTCTTTCTGACTCTTTCAAATGATTCCTAATGCCTCTGAGCCCAGATCTGGGTTATGTTTCCCCTCCCAAGGTTGTCACACAGAGGTGGTTGCAGATCTGGTGTGTAAGATGAGGTGTCAGGTGCAGGAGGCTTCTCGAGGGCTTGAATTTACCATCAGGTTTTGGCTGAAGCAAATGCTCCTGGTCTGAAGGGCCCCAGTGCTGAACTTCACCTGTGCTTGAGAAGGGTTTTCAAGGAGATGTCAGATCAAAAGAGTTTTATCGTGTCTTGTGAAGTTCCAGATAAACATTCTGGGCGAGGAAGGCACCAGAGAGGAGGTTTCTGAGGGGGTTGTTCTGTGCTTGCAGAGACCACAGTGGGTAATTCACATACCTACTCATCTTACAGAACGTAATTAGCGGCAATGTATTGTTGTCAGAGTAATTAAAGCTTCGCCTTGATTAAGAATGGAAAGCTGTCAGTTCAGAGGAAAGCTTGGGGTAACTCTGCCCACTCCCCGTCCCTGCTGACTCTGTGCCTCTCTCCCCGCAGGGCTCAAGGTCCGGGAGGTTTTCATCAACGTCACGAGGCAGCAGGTGGAGGATTTCCACGGCCCAGAGGATTACTGGTGCCAGTGCGTGGCCTGGAGCCACCTGGGCACCTCCAAGAGCAGGAAGGCGTCCGTGCGCATCGCCTGTGAGTGCCAGCTCTGCTGGGCTGGGCTGGGCTGGGCTGGGCTGGGCTGGGCTGGGCTGGGCTGGGCTGCGCTGGGGAACTCTGCTCCTGGGCTCCAACACCACCAGCCAGCTCCTCAGGCGCTGCTGTCCACGGCAGCCCTCGCTGGGGGACACCCTGGGAATATCCCGGGAGGCCAGGGGTGTCAGGGGAGGGAAAAACCTCCTCCCTCCTTTCTCTGAGGAACGAGCACATCCCTGGCAGAGCTCAGGTGCCACAGGGGCTCTGCTGGTTCTCCCTGGGCTGAGCTCACAGGGCTTAGAAACAAAGAATGTTCAGTGCTGTTCATGGAGACATTTATGGAAGCACTGCTGAAGGGAATGAAATAATTCCCAGGCAAGGTGGGTGATGTTGCACTTCTTTAGCTCCAGAGCTGATGTTCAGTGCCCAGACTGGGCTTATCTCTGTGCCCATGTGTGTGACTGAGTGTGGGCTCATAACTCACAACCAGCCCATCACTGCTGGAAAGGTGCAAAACAGGCCAGTGCAATAAATGCCCCCATAGCCAGAGGGACAGAAGAGAGACAGAACCCAAATGCGATTGTGGCCGTGAGACTGTGGAGCTACTCAAAGCCTCATCCAATTTGGGCCTTGCAATTGGATCTGTGATGGTTTTCTGACAGAATCAGAGCCTGAAGCCCCTCTTTGCCAGCAGAGAATTCAGGGAATTGCTCCCCCCAAACTGCTGTGAACCCTTTCCCTTTAAATCACCACCCCAGGTCTTCCCTTTCCAGTCCTAGGAAATGAGGCAACGGGAGGGAGAAATGATTCCTGGGAGGAGATGAGGGCAGCAGGAGAAGGCTGGGGAGGTCCAAATGAGAAACTCTGAAGGGTAACCTCCCAGGTGGTGTTCCAGCAGTTCTTGATAAATCTAAAATGGTGTCTTTTAACAAGATACATGTTGAACAGGACGAAGTAAACATCTGAGAGAAGTAAAAAGGACAATGTGACAACTCCTCCATTTTACAAATGGCAGTTTTGTTTTGTTTTTTTTGTTGCTGGCTGATTCTGTTTGAATGTCTAAATACCTATAAATTCAATTTTTTATTTCACTGCATTAACTGTCATAACACTGAGCTAATAATTCCCCTGCACTGCTGAGCTGCAAAGGGCCTTTATCTGAATTGAATTTTTATTGACTTTTCTCCACGCTGTGATTTCCCAACCCCCCAAAATGACAATTTGAGTCCAGCTCGGAGCAGGTGGAGCCACAGTGGGATTTCAGGCTGTGGCACCAGCCCTGCCCAGCACCCCCCCAGCTGCCACCCCGGATCCCATTAACCTGTCCCTGCTCCCAGAGGCTCTTCAGCCCGGCCCTGGAATGTTCTGAGTGCTGTGGCTGAGAGCTGAGCTCCTCTGCTGCCTCTTCTGCTGCCACTTGGGCTTGAAAGCCGGGGCTTTTTATGGGAAGAGCAGCAATTCCTGAGGGCAGGGATGATGGGGCTGGGCAGAGCTCCAGGCAGAGCTGCAGCAGGAGACTGGAACCCCCCCAGACACCCAGAGCTCTGAGTGCTCAGGGCACTGTGTCATCCTGTCCGTGGGGAACAACCTCCCTGCTGGACCTGGGACGTGGATTTCTGACTGAGGGAACCTGGGATGTGGATTTCTGACCGAGGGAATGCCCTGTGGAGCACGGGGGATGAGCCTGGCAGGTCCAGACACTACCCAGGATGTGTTCTCAGCTCCTTTGGGGTGCACAGGGAAGAACTGAACACTTTTTTCCTTCCCCCTTTTTTTTTCTTTTGCACTTAAATCCCAAAGATTCTTGAGTTGTGAGTCAGGTCCAGAGCGTTGCAGCACTGTTACGTTTCTCTGGAAAAAGCAGGTGAGTATTTCTGTGAGATAGTGGGGGAGGCAGAGAAAATGAGAAGATGGATCTTGCTCCATTTTTCATCCCAATAAAGGCATTTGTAGGCACAGCTGCAGCTCGGCTGTTAATGAATGGCTTTTTAAACAGAGGACTGGAAAAGATGTTGGTTACCCATGGGGGAAAAAAATCAACATCAACAGAGAACGATGAAAAGGAGAACCCAGGCACTGTGTGCATCTCTCTCCAGTGAGCAGCTTGCCAAGACAAGTCTTCCTGTATTTTGTGTAATCTGTGGAAGTGGGACTGCCTGGGAGCTGCTGCCGAGCCAGGGCTGCATTTCAGCAGGTGTGAGCAAGGCAGGGAATGAAGGCAGTAAATCCACCCTGTGGAGTGTGAGACTGTGTGAAGGCACCGAGTGTTCCCAGTGGAACATCCCTGCTCTCCCAGCACCTGCAGGAAGGAGCATTCCTGGCGTTCTGTTTTCCTCCCACAGCAAGGAGAACATCCCCTATTCCCGGGCATCCCTGGGGCAGGTCCGGGATGTTGGATCCAGCTCTCCTTTGGGTCTGCTCTGGTTTGCCCAGACACTTGTCCCCGGAAGTGCTGCCACCACATCAGTGTGGCCGAGACATTCCTCACCCTCAGCTGGGCTGGGGTGTCTGGAGTGAAGAACCTCGGAATTGCTTGGAATTGCTCTCAGTCCTTCCCTACAACTCGCTGTGTGTGCAGCCCAAAGGACACATCCCCCTTGGGATGTGCTGTCAGACCCTCCCCTGGGCAGGGGGTGCCAGGAACATGGGCCACCCAGGCTTGGCTTCTCTCAGCTGGTTCTCCCGGCACCCCCAGAATTCCACAGGGTTGGTTTTTTGCCTTCAGTTCCCCTGTTTTGGAAAGGCAGCAGCTCCAGGGAGTGAGTGCCCAGCTGGAACATGGGGAGGGAGGTTCTGGCATGGGTTGTGTCTGCACTCAGGTGGTTTTGGAAAGGTGGAGAAATGGGAACACAGCTGGAGGTGATGGGATCTGGGCAGGAATTAGTAACACTTGGTTATCTGAGGGCAGGCTCACCCTGCAGCCAGCACAGGGCTCTTGGGGCAGGAGTGGCCTTCGGATGGGTGATGGATTCTGATGAGTTCCTGCTTTAAATCCTGCAGATCTGAGGAAGAACTTCGAGCAGGACCCGCAGGGGAAGGAGGTTCCCATCGAGGGGATGATTGTCCTGCACTGCCGACCCCCCGAGGGGGTTCCTGCGGCCGAGGTGAGGCTCTGGGGGGGCAGGGGAGGAGCAGGAGGGCTCAGCTCTCTACCCAAACCCAGGAGAGTTCTCTGAGAAATCCAGGTTTTGAGACAATCTCTGGTGTTTTCGTGCTTCCAAACCGAAAACAGATTTTTTCGGCTCGTTTTCTCGGGGGTTGCTTTTCTCCTTGAAAAGTAAAAAAAAAAAAAAAACAAAGGGAAAAGACAAACCTAAAAATATTATGATGAATTGTTGCTGGAGAAGGGAAAATCTGCTGCAGATAGTAATTTGGTGGGTTTTTGCTTAGCTTTAAACATGTTTTTTGTCATTGGAGTTGAATCTTAACAGGAAACTAATGGGGATGCCTTAAAATGGCCCCAGCCAGGCTGTTCTGGCAGGGAGATGTTCTAAGTGGGTCGTGGTTAAAAATCTGCTACAGAGGCTTTAAAAACAACAAGAAAACGTTGTGTTTCTAATTGCACTCTGCAGGCTCTTCAGCATCTTCTGAGGAAGACAAATAGGTTCGCTCAGAAGTTATTTTTGCCCCTTATCTCCACCATCACTGGGGTTTGTTTTGATTGAGGGAACAAAAGGAGAGAGGGAAAATAAACTCCAGAGAAATGTGTGTCTTTTAGCCAAGGAGGAGAGTGTTGGGCAGATGCCACTGAAAATAAAGAGGAGAAATGCAGCAGAAAGGGGTGCAAAGGCACTGCCAGTGAGGTGGAAATGGTGCAGCCCCAGAGGAGAGTGAGTTGGAAATGAGGATCGATTTGTGTCCAGGTTTCTGATGTGCCTTACTCTGGCATTCAGGTTTCTGCCCCCACCTTCCCCTCAGCTGTGTTATTTTTCCTTGTGTTTAGTGTTTCTAGAAAAGTGGATGTTGCCTTACAGAGAATTGCCAGAGTTACTGAATGTGTGCTCTGGTAAATGGATCTGTTTCGTAGGCAAAACAAACTTCCAGAGGTGCCTAAACATCCTTGGTCTGTTTGAGTTTCACTGAGAATTTCAGGATTTGTTGAACTACACAGCTTCACACTCCCAGTTAAACAGAGGCTCTGTCTTCTGTGGAAGTTAGGAATTATATCTGATGGAAGAGTGACATTTTAATTGCTTTCTGCAGATAAAAATGGTGGAGTTCCCAATAAACCCTGCCATACTGATGTTGACAGTAAACTTGTTATTGCTGTTAATAAAGCCTGTAAATCTCACCAGGTCGTATTTGCTTTGGCCAATAACATTTCCCATCAAGGCTCAGGCTAATTCTGGGCCCATCAAGGTAAAGAGGCTGCTGGAAATAATTCAGTGAGTCTGGGTTAAATCAGTCCTGGCTCTGGGCTGGGACACTGAGCTCGAGGTTCTAAACTCTGCTGGTACCTTCCAGTGAAAGAACAACCTGCCCTGTTAAACCCAGGGGTGAGAAATGGCTGAGACAGCCCCAAACCCCACTCAGGGATTGTTCTGGGGGTGCTCAGAAGTGCAGGAGGTTCCAACCCCAGCGCTGGCAACAAACCCCGTGGTTCTGAGCCAGGAATTTATTTCCTGGGTGAAAACACAAGGCTTGAAATAACTCTGGACAAAGGAGCTGGTCTTGTGTTTCATTAGATGCAAAGTGGATGCTAATTGTGGGTTGTTGTGGTTGGTTGGTTGTTTAATCCACACTGGGCACGGGGCTGGAAATGGGAACTGAAAACAAAGGGATCCCAGATTCCAGCCCCTCCTGTGTTCCCAGTGTGTGTCTGAGTCCCTGGGGAAGGGTTTGGTTATTCCATCAAGTGTAGGAGTTCAGGAATGTTGTTTCCCCAAAACCCAAACCCATTCCCTGTGTTTGCCCCCATCCCTCGTTAATCCAGGTATTCCCGGCAGAGGCTGGGAAGGGCTGGGACAGTGGAACCTAAAACTGGAGTGAAGCCTCAGTTCAGCCCAGTTCTTCATGTGAACCTGCCCCACTGTCAAGGATATAAATCTTTGTGCCTGGAATTGTTTTTCTGGATCTTGGGGGCGCTGAAGGTTTCTTAAACCCGAGGCTGGAAACCCTGAAAGTGAATGTTCTTCACCTACCCCACGGCTTAATCTGAAAATTCCTGTCATTAGTCCTGAAGAAGTGGAAGGCAGGGATATTTCCTAGGGACGGCTGACACGGTTTCCTTGGAATTACCTCGCCAGGAGGGAGAAACTTTCTTTTCCACCGCTCCTTTCCACATCTTCAGTCACTCCTCAGATGCTCTCACCTGGTGATTTTAGCCACTGCTCGTCTGAAACCCAGTGAGGGGCTCTCAGCAGTCCCTGGGTGTTCTCACAGGTCAGCGTTTCCCAGGTGTGTCCATGCCCTCGCTGTGCCTTTGGGCAGGAGAAGGTTTTGAACTGAGCAGCAGCACTGGGGGCCAGCTCTGAGCCCCCCGAGGTGTCAGCACAGGCCAGTGGTGCCTCTCGGGGCCAATCCTCTAATGCAGTCAGTTGTTTGTGGGGTGGGAGGACGCAGGGATGGAGATGAGCCCTCACAGGGAGGTGATTCTCTGCAGAGAATTCCTCCTGGTGAAGTTTTGTTGGGAGAAATGTCTGTTCCTTCCATCTGCTCGGAGGGGGTGAGGCTTCCACCAGCAGCAATAAGAACACCCAGATTAAATCTGCTTAAATGTGTTCATTTCTGCACACGGGAGGTATAAAGACGGTTAGGAGAGGATGCATTAAAGGTCTGGATCCGTAGTTTAAATGAGTTTAAAGTGTCTGTGGCTTAAAACTCGGCGTGGGTCAGTGAATTTCCCAGGAATTGGAAGCTCCTGTGACACCGTGGCTGCTCTGCCCCCACGGCTCAGTTTAGTAAATAGTCTTTAAGCTGAATAACATGCCAGTGAAAGCAAACAATCCAGGGATTACAAACAGGGAGCAGCAGGGTTTTAATTCTGGAGATGAGAGCATGAGACCATTGTGCACACCTCTGCTTGGGATTTGGGGCTCTCTGGGTGCATCATTTACAGCACTGAGAAAGAAAACCCAAATCTTGATGCTGGGCAGACAAAAAAGGTTTTGAATCCTCTTCTCATGCATTTACATAGCAAGCAGAGAGAGCTGGTGAGCAGCTGTGCTTGCAGGCATCAGCACCCAACCCAAATAAATTCAGTTTTTATGAGTTAAGCATCGAAATAAAAAAGAAAATTCAGCATTTAAATAGAACAGCTGAAAATCCCCTGCTGTGGCAAGTGTTGATTCAAATCTAACAGTCTCTGCTGGCACGGGCTCTGTGGGAGCAGAGCCATCCCTCTCACTATTGATGTGGAGTTGGCCTGGGGAAGAGTCAGTTCTGGCTCTCGGTCCCCCAGCAGCTTCTCCCCACGGAGATGTTTATTAATTGTGTGCAGCAGAGGCCTCCTTTGGCTCCCTGTGTGCCCTGGGGAGCAGTGGGGGATCCTCCCGGGATCAGCTGAGCTCCCAGAGGGATCCCCCTGCTCTGGGTGTGGTTGTGCTGCCAGGGGGGGACCCGGGCTGGGCTCTCTGAGCCCCCCCTGCATTGCTGGGACTGTTTCAGGGGAAGGGGTTCTGCTCTGCACTGGCAGGATGAGAATGAGAGGGGAGGGAGGGCTGAGTTCCCCCAGAAGGTGTGGAGCTGAATGTTGGGTTTGCCAGAGCCACATCTTCAGCCTTGTGGCTGATGAGGATCCGTGACTGCTCAGCAGGGCTGACCCTGCCCATCACACACAGCCTGTGGTTTGGGGAACACCCTGCAGGAATCCACGAAGGGAAGAGCAGCTTCTCCAATAGAGGGATGTTTTTACAGCAGTGTGTTTGACAGGGACACGACACACGACGTGTTCCTCGAGGTGCATCATCTGCTGCTCTCCCTTGGCAGTTCCCTCCCTTCACACGAATCCCGTGGCTGCAGAGGAGCCTTTCCACAGCTCAGACAAGTGCAGTGTGTCATTGAGGTGGAGTGTTGCTCACCCCAGGGTTGTGCTGCTTTCCTGCTCTGCCCGTGTTTGTCGTGGCCCTGCAGGTTCAGTTCGTGGCCCTGCACGTCCCCAGCAGACACAGCAGTTATTCACGGGGCACTCCTGGGGCTCAGCACCAGGGAAGCCTCACGCTGCTTTCAGATGATTTTTAGAGCATATCCTTGACCTGCAGCCTGGCATAAAACACACTCTGTGCTCGGCCTTGGCCGGGGTTCAGGTCCTGTGTGGGGCTCAGTGGGGATGGGAGGTGGAACTGGAGCTCACCCAGCCCAGCCTGCTGGAAACACAGAGAAGGTGGGAGGGGGTGCCCAGCAGAGCTCAGGGGACTCTGTTTGCTCCCCAGGTTCTTGGGCATTTTCCTCTTTGTTCATCCCAGTCCTGGAAGGAGGCATTTGTGGGGTCCAGCCTGGGGTCACCCAAACCCTGATCCCCTGCAGCCAGAGCTCAGCACAGGGGTCAGTCAGCAGATGGGATGGATGGATGGATGGGTGGATGGATTTGCCTTCCTGTTCATGGAATTCTGATCTTTTTATGGGCACTGCTCCATTTTGTGCAGCACAATACAGAATAAGACCTCTTGTTTCTTTTCTCCTATACGTCTCCTCAAGGGAATTTCCTGGCATATGCATCCCTTATCTTCTCAGCCGACCTTTTGGTCTTCCTTTAAGTAGGTTTTCTCCAGTCTGTGCTCTCTTCAGTTTTTTGAAACTCTTCATTTTTGGGGGTGGGGAAAGGCATAAAACATAATGGATCCTCCTTTTTTCAGTGCTTGACAAGCTTGTTGCTACCTCTGTATGTGCTGAGTGTCAGCATCTTCAGCTCTCCTCCTCTCTGTGTAGTGCTTTCTCCTCATTCTGCTTTTAAATAACTCTTCTCTGAAGAAGTGAAGCCTCTCAGGTTATTTTTCTGTTGTTCTGCCCCAAGTGCAGTGGAGGTACAGCTGTGGGTTTCTAAATAGGTCCTAAGCCCCCATCCCTGAGAAATCCCTGAGAAATCCCCGTTGTCCTGTGATTTTCTGGGTGTCACAGCCCTGCCATCACCACGATCCAGTGCTGCTCAGACCCATTACCCTGGCTG